TTCTCGTCTTTCTGTCTCTCTTCTCTCTCTTCTCTCGCAGGAGGATCCGGGCTAAGAGCCACATATAAAGGACTCTTCACCTGGGAGTGTAGCTCCACTGGTCGGCCGGAGCCGTATCACCTCCAACTTGAGATCCTTGAAGTGGAAGACGACGGACAGTAGATCGCAGCTAAGACGACCGTTAGTCCGGGTTGAGGTGCACACGAAGTGGTTGAAACTGTCTTCTAAAACCATTCAGTCGAAGCTAGCTGGAGTTACTCTTGCGATAGCAAGGTTTCTTTCGACCGGGTGCAAATCCTAACCCCTGATTTTTCAGGTCGAAGCCCCCCCCCCCTCATCACTCTCACTCTCACACTCTCACTGCATGCGGAAAAATTCGGCCTGTTTTCTGCTTCTTGTGAAGCTACTCCTCTCGGCCACCTTCACAACCGCATCGCTGGGTCATGGCCGTGTGCTTCTTCAAAGAGACTACAGTGTACTACAGGTAACCGTACATGTTTCCAATCCAACACCCAAACATTTCAAATTTCTTGGTGAGCAAGCTACGTCTGTGTCTAGACCTCGCATCCTAAAATACCAATATTCTTTCCACTCCCTGGTTTCGAGATCAAGTGCATACTCCTTTGCCCCATACCGATCTATTCTGGAGCGCTAGCTTTCGCCACCCCCCTTGGCCTCAAGTATATAAGTGGCCCAGCAGTAACAACCGCTCCAGCCCAGTTGCCCAGTTGCTGATCAGCCAGGCGACCTCGGACTTGGACGCTGCCTCGGAGGCTTTGGTCCAAGGGGCCTTGGACCGGGCCATGGCCAATGCCTTTTGGTCGCCCAAAGCGTTGGGAGACCGCCAACTGGTGCGGTGACTTGCGGATGGCCCTCTTTCAGGTGGCCCAACACCTTAGAAGTCTGGGGGGCTCTAAACGGGGTTGTGTTTGAAATTGTATTTTGAGGCTTTGCTGTGCTATGAGGTAGAGGCTTTTGGGGTGCAAGGGCTTTGGTCACGCGCAGGCAAAAAGAAAGACTAGGCAGAGGGCCTGGCTGACTGAGATTGGTGAAGACCTCCTGGTTCGAGTGGCCACGATGTCCCTCAAGACAGTTACACCTCACCTTACTTGTAGCAAGCGAGAGCCATTGCCTCCTCCAGGCTTATGTTGCTCAGATCGCTTGCACCAAACTGCACAGATAGCGGACTTCTGGTAAACCTCGTTCGACGAAGGAGTCTTGTGCGGAGACCTCTCATGGGTTGGGTGCACCCCCGAGACATCTCCAAAGGCCGCCCCTTCCACGTATATCACGGGCTCGAGGTCACCAGCATCACGGTGGCCCACCGCCTGTCGACGATTCGGAACTCCGATCGGATCTTCGTGCTGCTGGAGGGTCAGGCAAGGGGAAATTCTCCGAGATCGGACGGGTTGGAGGACATGCTTGGGGTGAGCCAGGTCAGAGTTTCACACGTGCCCCAATAAAGACATTTGCTTCACTCAAAGGCTGCGTGGTGGATGGTCCAGTGCACGGTCCAGGTCATCGAGCAAGGCACCTACAGTGAGCTGGTGGCCATGGGTGGATCCTTTGCCCAGCTGGCCGCCCGCAGCCTCTAGCCGCGCACGGGCACCGTGGTCCGAAGGGGCCAGTGTGTGGCTCCAGTATGGTGTGGGTATCTCCTGGGTAGACGGAACAACCCCCCTGGAAAGGCTTTGTTCAGATGGAGTTTCATGTTCCAGCAGGAACTCCTGCATTGGGCTTTGTGCCATCATTGTGCCATTTGCTGTAGTATCCCGACGAAGTGGGGTTTTGAAAGGGGCGCAGTGAGCTGCATCGTTTGCTGATTAGTTCGAAGGGCAAAGCACTCGGCCGACGGCTCAACTTTTGAGGGCGAGAGATTCCCGCCCTCGGGCGGCTGGCCGTCCGGGTTCCCTTGCCGTCCTAGCGGGCAGCTGCCAATGATCGACGGAGAAGCCATTGGTTGTGAAGAAAACCTGGTGCAGGGATCTTCAAAGGCACCAAAAACCTGCAGAGTAGTCCAAAAAGAGACTGTGAGCACTGGTGCCTGGGCAAAGATTTTTGTGTTTGGGTTATCTTGCATTGATGTGTCGATGCGGGTAGCAGTTCATTACCCTTGCCAGCGTCTAGCATCAAACTTACCATGGACGAGATTCAACACTCAAGCCAGCTTGCGTGCATGTGGGTTGCCAATATTGGCAGCCCAGGGATTGAGAACTTGCGGAAAGTGTTTACAATGCTGCGCAGGCCTGGTTCTGAAGGCATGGCGGCAGAAAAATGGACGTACACACACAGACAAACACTTGTAGGCAACCAACCGCATCAAGCACCAGGGCCCATCTTTTCCAATTTTGGACCGCCATGATCCACGCGGATTTGCACAACTCTGCCCTTGGCAGTCCAAACTCAGAGGCAGGCACCCGCAAAGACAGGAGTGTCATAGATCATCTGGATCGTGGCGCATCGTCTGATGCCGGACCACACCGCCCTCATAGCTCCCTTTTCTTCCCGCTAGAGGGTTGAGTCATTAGCAATTGCTGGAGTCATTAGCTACAAGCCATGGTGGCAAGACATAAACGAGTACTTCTTCTACCAGAGGAAACCCCTCCAAGGGGGACTCTTCGACTTCTCCCTCGCCCTGGGCCCGCCCTCAGGCGGGAGGCGAGCTGCGGCGGATCCTCAAGGACCGCAGCGAAGCGCTCTTTCCGCGCCTTGGGCGATGTGGGAGAGGTGGTGTGGGGCGGATGGTGTGGGAGGACATGAGCGTGCAGGACGGCAAAGATCGGGAGCGACCAGTGGATCTTATGATGTCTTATGTTTGACTTCGTTCTTTGTCTTTGAGGGCTATTGGAGGGATCTCCATACTTCAATCCATCCATTCAACAAGGTTTTGGTGGAGGGAGGAGAGCCCTTCGAGAAGCGCACCCCGTTGGCAGCAGCAATTGCACTGGCCAAAGAGGTGTTTGGGTCATTGTCAGCATGGCATGCAAAGGCCGAAAGGCGCTATTCTGCCACAAAGACCATGTCCATTATAGAATTATAGATGTATATATATATATATGTGAATGTGCCTCAATGCAAGTCGAAAATAGACTTACATCCAGCGAAGATGAAAATACGGAATGTGTTCACATACAAATTGAGGGCGGAGAGCAAAGGGCCAGAACCTTTCCATGGGGTGTCTAGCAATGCATGCTTAGACGAGGTTTACGGTGCACTGGGGATAAAAAATCAGAACCATCTCTTTTCGCCCTCACCTACCTTGGACAGTGTGGATCAAAGCTCCCTCAGACTGCCTTCTGGGAGAGCGGCTCCTTTGACTCAGGAACGAGAAAGAGAAGGATGGTAAGGACCGTCCTGGGTGGATCATGCCCCCCTTTCGCCATGGTATACTGGCGCATGTTCATGTCATATTGGTGGGCACACCCCAACCGCGCATACTTATATATTACTTCTGACCAATTAGTTTGTGACCTGCTCTCATTTGGACGATTCACTGAGACCCACCTACTTGCACCCCCCCACGCAGTTACCACGTTCTTGGCGGTTCCGTCCAAAATCTTGGTCTTTGAGATCTACAACCTGCCAGCTTGTCGATAGGTTCGTATCACATGAGTTTCGACCGGAACTTCCTTTCGACCATGGATCACAAGCATCCTGACTTCGACTTGAACTGGAACGTTCTCTCCTGCTACTGTATGTTTTATTCTTTTTTTTGGGGGGGTCTGGTGAGAACAGTCAATGGTGCAACACCGTTTGAGACACAGTCTAGGAGCACCCAACCAGGGTGAACATGGGAAAGATGAGCCAGCACCCTGCCAGCCAACTATATAACTGTCTCAGCCGTCATCGTATCAGGAGTTTCAGGTTCGTCCTTATCAGCGTTTGGCCTATGGCGCCCTAGACTTTGCCAAGACGCCTGTGCAGCTGCTGCTGGGGTCGAAGATGACCTTGAGCGCGCCAAGGGAGTTGGAACATGTTGGAACTCCTGCAACGACTCCTTGAGGGCGTAACACATCAAATCCCTAGAAACCAACGGCCATGAGAGTCTTTGAGAGGGGCTAGCGGCTAGTCAGTCGAAGGACTGGGACTGGGAAGGCGCGAAGTGGAGAGGGAAATACATCGCTGGAGGGGGAGGATGACGGATGCAACCGTGGCACACTTGGAACGAAGTATGCGGCTCCGATGCGGGATGGAACGAAGCGCCCAAGATGAGGCTAATCAGCGTGCACTTGCTGACCTTTTACCAGCAGGCCTCCGGGCGTTCTGCCATGTTGCTTCCATTTCGGGTTCTTTTGGGAGGCCAACCAAAATGCGGCATCTCACACTCCAAAACGCGGCACCTCCGGTTCGGCACCGCCTTGGAGGCCGGTGCCGCCCTGGGCGCGGTGGCCTTCTTCACCTCGACGGCCCGGTGCTTCGACGTGCTTTCGGATCCGTTGATGGCCCAGGTGCGGTCCCCCAAAAGCCGGGAGGGGTGCGAAGCCAGTGAAGCTTGCTTAGGAGTGCCAGGGATTCAGTACAGTACAGGTGATCTGTGATTTGGTGGTGTGTAGTGCTAGATGGTCCAGGACTTTCTCCATTGTAGTGTTGCAAATTCATGTGCGGTATCCATAAATGGGTCCCCTCCGAAGGTCTTCGAACTTTCGAACCTTGTGGTCTCTTTGTGGCTGTCAGGGATCTGGGTCCAACCTGGACCCTCCAGCCTGCAACAGCCTTTGGGTCAAACCTTAGAGGTCTTGCAGCGTCTGACTTGTAGGTTTTTTTGCGGGAATACGATCAAGCCATCACGGAAGGCTTGTCCACCGTCGTTCCGATTCACCGCTGCCGCCGCGTCGCGTCGAGACGCCCGGCAGGTCTCGGATGGCTTCAGCTCGCGCTTCGGGCGAAGGCGGCCCTTCGTGTTGGTGGGATCGGTGCTTTATGCGCTGTGCCTGGTGGCTTCTTGGGGCACGGCGCGTCCGGGACGCGAGGTGTATGTTTGTTTTGGGGGGGGCAAGAGCTGAATTTAACAAAGAAGGATGGGGATCAGGAAGGTCCAACAGTGGTTGATTGGGCATGACAAAGGCCATAAGATGGAACAGTTCACAGCTAGCGAGCTGCCCGAGCTGTGGGTTGCTGTCTTGAGGAGTTGAGAAGTTGCCAGGAGATTCATGAGGCGACCTGGTGGGCGAATTCCTTTTGGATGATTCGATCGTCATGTCTACAGATTTGCACTCCGACTCAGAAGTCCTGGAAGTGGAACACCAACACCCCCATTCGGAAAGGAAAGTAGCCTGCCAAATGACCAGTTTCCACTTGAATGTCTGTTGGTGAGTCATTGTGTACATGGTCACTGTGTCGGTTTGAAGTTCACCCAGGCTTTGTGCTCGCCTCCTTCTTCGATGTCAGCAGAGAACACTGGTCTCTGGTTTGGTTGCTTCTACATTTTGTTCTTTCTGACGGACACGTGAGGCCCTCAGATTGACAAGCGGCAGGGAGAGACGTTTTGCTTCACTAAAGGTCATTCAGTTGCTCTTGCCATTCAAAGGGAAGCTGAGAGCTCACCACTTAAGAGGTGACAATTGGGCACCACTGTGGCACTCGCATCAGTTCAGCCAGTCAGATCAACATGGAGACATGTCACCTACGTTCAATATCACTTCTTGGTGAACCTGCCTGCATGATGCTACCCTGGTTCAGGGGGACATGATGTTACCGCTCGCCCCGCAGATCCCAGGATCACTGCCATCCCTCACAATGCCTTGGGGCAAGAGATCACCTCAGACACCGACCAACGGCGCCTGGTTTTCATGGTCGCAAAGATCTACCAGGCCGGGAAGTTACAGCTTTGACAAGATCTGCCAGGGCGGGATCCGGAGAGGAGGTTGACAAGCGGACACGCGACATGTGAAGCTGGTTGCAACTCTTGGCGGATCTTTTTTCGTTTATATAAATACACTCCGACTCACTAACATGGAAGTGGACCCCCCCTGTTCGTAAAGGAAAGTAGAGGGACCATGCCATCCACTTCCACGCTAGTGAGTCAGAGTGTACTTGTTTTTCTTTTTGACAACTTGTCTATCCATGAGGACGAACTGAGCCCCCCCCCGAAAGACGGAGAACAAAGGACCATCCAGGAGCTTTGAGTCGGCGTTGGCTCTGGGTTCGGACTTGCGCAGCAATCTGCAGAGAGGACACCTGGACCTTTGATGCAGTGAATGCATTGCCCCGTGTGGTTTCTATAGAGAGGAAGTACGGAGTTGAGGACTTAAAGGTATGGTTTAAGGCTAAGGCCACTCTCTGGCGACAGAACATTTAACAAGATGGCTCAGTATGCTGAGCCTCCTTTTTCACGATGAAAGGTAGGCTTCCCAACAACCAGCCTGGCATGTCCAAGATGTTTCGTGCGAGCTGCCTCCCTCCTTTCCTGGATTCCTGTCGTACCTCGCATACCCATCGACCTCCATAGAGAGTTCCCTCCTTTGTCTTGGATCCTGCGGGCATGTCGACGTCGACGGTGTCCGGCAGCCGTTGCTTCGGTCCGCCAGGCCTTCGGGATGATCGCCGCGGCGGCTCTGCCGGTGCTCCTGGGGAACCTGCTGAGCGCCTGCCACTTACCACCGGAGTGCGACGGAAGCGAGCAAGAGGCAGGGGAGCGGAGACTGCTCGCGGGACGGGAGGATGGGAAGATGGGAACGGTGCGTCTGTTTGGAGGGCACCTCACTGTTGGCAGGGGGGGTGTTCGTGTGACTGGCCTGAAGAAGTTCTTCAAGAGACTCTTTAGTCTTTAGGGCGGCTGTGTGCAGTGGCATGATTTGAGATACTGAAGGGAAGGATCTCGGCGTTGCCCAACCCAGTGCTCAAATCCTTCTAACCGGGCTTGGCTTAAAGCCGCGAAAATCTCCCAGTGCTGGATTGGTGATCCTGGACATAAGATAATGAATGATAATGACAAGGGGTTCAGGCGACAAAATCACACACACCCCTAGAAGTCAATTGTTTCTCCTGTAAAAACAACTCCCTTTTGGATCACCTCACAAGACAAGGTCGACTGGACTCGTACACAGCACAGATCCTCCGGAGTGCTGTGATCGCCTGTCAGGTGCGCTGTGCAGAGCTCGAACGGGAGTGTGATGGACTGCAGAGCCGGCGTTCGATCCTGGTGACCGGGCATAGAATTTACGACGCATGTCCTTTGCATGAGGATGTCATAGCATGTCATAGCAGGATGAGGGCTTAGGTTTGAGAGCTCTTGTGAATCTTGTGAATGAGCCTTTGCTCTTGGATGTGAGCGTTGCATGTAGCTGATGAGTGGTCGATTTCCTTCGGCTATGGCTCAAGCTTGTGAAGGGCCAAGTCGACTGAGAAGGATCACACCTTACCGGCAGCCACTATGGCAGAGGGACCAGGATCAGGCGTGTGGATGACCGAAGGAGGCATGAAGTCTTGGTGGCTAATGGAGTGCAACATTGAGCTCTCGAAGCAGGAGTTCTTCAAGGGCATCCATGCAGGCTTTCATGAGGAGCTGGGCGAAGCAAGGTTCCTTGACATCGAGGCTGCAAAACGGTTGGACGGCGGCACTGCAGGTGAGAATGTGGGGCGTTCCATCACCGAGTTCAACAAGTTGCTTGGAATGACTATGGGCATCCACAACCACCTCCACATGTTCAATGCTGGCGCCAGCAAGTTTGCCCCAGACAAAGCCGTGAGTGAGACGAAGGATGCGATGCAACAAGTGCTGGACACTCTCGCGTTCCACTGGAGAAGGGCTTTGGCAAGCAATTTGCACCGAGACCAGGGCAGTGAGATAAGCCACGTGCTGTGCACCATCCGCGAACATGCGAAAACCTCTTGTGGGTGCTCTTTTCCCGTCGCAAGCCAGGCGGCCAGCCAAGGGCAAGCGACGAAGCGACGCCGGCCCTTGTCCAGCGGTCGATAGACAGGTCCAAATCGTAGTTGCGGGACGCCCATTTAGTCCAGAGGCTCCCCATGTCAAGCTTGAAAGTTGCTTGGGCACGATGGAGGGGAAGGACGCATCGTGATGAAAATGCGCGCGGATCACTTCAGTTGGGGGTTGTCGAATCAAACTTTTATGTTATTAAACATATATATATATAGATAGATGGTTGCACTCTTGATGAATAGTGATAGCGGCGCCTTGCCAGAGCAAGTGTGGTTGTTTTCTGGCTGGCAGTGTGAGCGGCTTGTTGTCTTGCTTTGTGTCGCTCAAGCTGGAGGCTCTGTGGCTTGGTGTAAGCCCTAATTGGCAACACTAGTGTCGAACAAATTGTTTGGAGGAGGGCTTCTCCCTGTTTGTAGCGGGTGTTATGAGGGCTTTGGGGCCAGAACGTGCAGGCATCTTGAGCAACTTGGCCACGGCCCACGGCACACACAATGGGCACCAGGTTACTGTGTTGGGAAGATGGTCCAGTTACTTCAGATGCCAAGCACATGCAACGCAGATTTGGTCATAGGTTCTGGTGGGTTCAAGACGTAAAAGCCTGCAGGCCCAACTAGTCAGATTCAATGTGGCAGTTTAAGGTAGGATGGCTTGTCTCAAGCTCGCCTGAGGCGACCGGCCTGATCTTCGGCGCCGTGGCGGTCCTGTCAGGAACGAACTGATAGTAAAAACCACTGCGGGAACGGACTCAATTCTGGGGAGTGGACCGCCGGCAAGCAAAGCGAGCACGAAAGCCTTTGAGCCCGGACCCCAACAGTTCTTCATGCAATTAGTTTCGTTTCTTTTTAAAGTACGTTGTGCTTCGGCCATGTAAGCTTTCGAGTTGTCTCCTTCAACTCTTTCTCCACTCCTTCATGTTTGCCAGGCCTCTCCTGTGTGCTCTTCATCCGGGAGAGGAAAGCTGACGCTTCTCGCGCTGGCGCCCCGTTGCTGGAAGGGCCCTCCGTGACTGAGAGGCCTTCGCCGCTTGGCCGGGAGGTTCGGGCTAAGGACCGTCGGACTTGGAAGAATTTGATGGTGTTTCTATGTGTTTATGGTTTGATGAACCAGTTTTGGGCTCAATCATGGGTTGCTTGATATATATAGTGTTGCAACCTTCGTTCTTTGCAACATTTGTCATGCGCCGGGCTGGAACCACGACTGTGCTTGTTTCCTAAGCGACTAAGACTAAGCGGTTTTCCTTGGTTCCCGTTGCCCAGGAAACTCGATGAGATACTTCCTGGGTTTCTTGTGGCCTGGCAGAAAATGTAGTTCAAACAGGAAAAATGCATCATTGCGGTTAGCTATGCGGTTGACCGCCGCCAAGGCGATGCTGCAGAATCGGCCTTTTCGAGTGCTTGGGCAAAATATGTTGGGCCGACACGTGGTTGTTGGCAGGATGCTTCCGCATTGGTTTCGTTGCCTCCGTGTTCGATTTGAACGCACGCTGCAAAACAAGCAAGCCCAAACAAACCCAAACAGAAACGACTCGACGCGACCAACCTCACGTCCACCATCGCTGAAGTGCAAAAGTGAAACGCCAACTTCAAGACAAACGGTTTCAAACATTTGACCATCTATGAGGCTTTTTACCCATCGCCGAACACGTCGGGAACGAGAGGAAGGATCGGATTTCGATCGACCCGGCCGTCCGACGAGTCGAGGCCATGGTGATCCCGTGGGTCTTGGACCAGACCATCGTGGCAATGCTCTCCTCCTTGCTGCCCTTCTACGTGCAGAGCCTCGGACGAGTTCGCTTAACGCCGGGACGAACGAGGACGGAAGTTTTCTTCCTGCTGCTCAGTGCTTCCGAAAGCTGCAGCGCAAGGGTGAATTCCAGGCTTTTGCGCCCCACAGTTTGTTCCGCTTTGCTTCGGGCACCACCGGAGCAGTGTATGGCAACCGACTACCCGCAATGTGTACCTCAGGTGGTGACAGCTTTGGTGGTTTGTGTGGGTCGTGCTCTGGGGTGTCACACTGGGATGTTCGATGGGCTGAGGTACGTCATCTCGCCGGAGGAGATTTGCGAAGATAGCGATCCGCCGATCCCCATCACGAGCATGCGCTGCAGCTCCCGGATGCTGTGCCCACAGCTGAATGGGCGCGTAGGCGGTTTTTCCGTGAACCGAACGCAGCGAGAGAGGAGGTTTTGCCGTTAACCAAGAGCAAATTGGAAGGCTCCTCAGTGCACCTCATGCAGTTTCGACTGGGTGATGCTAGCTATTGGAAGGCTTTCCAATCCTGTCACTCATGCCTTCATTGAGGCTTGGCATTGGGTTGGTTTGCATGCTGCTGGCCGCTATCGGATCTATGCCCCTATGGCAGAAGGCAGCCATGGGCTTTGGTGACTACAGGACCCGATCTGACTCGCTTGGACCGTTGCGCGATGGCGGCCCAACGGGGTTGCGTTCAGGACATGGCTCGCCTTCAACTTTCTCAATGCGATCACCACCATCCTGCCACTTGGACACAGGGAGATTGTGTGATCAGACTTGTGCTAGTACCTGTGCTAGTATCGTGGCCTGCAGTATGAATACTTACATACACATACATACACATACATACACACACATACACACACACATACACACATATACACACATACATACACACACACATACATACATACATACATACATACATACATACATACATACATACA